TTAAGGGGTTGCCATAGTAACAGAGCATAATAAACGCAAATAGTGAAGTGCATATGTTCTGAAAATACTTATTTTATAACATGGAATATGATTCAACCCACAGCGTATATGGTGCGCTTCAATACCAGAACATATCATCCAATAGCCTAATATGGTAGAACCTGAGACCATAGAATAGTTCAGAAGAGCCCAAGTTGGTCCAGCCTCCAGAGTATATAGATGGTACAGCCTCCAGAGTATAAGATTAGTGCAGTCTCAATAATCTAATATGATACAGTCTCTAGAGTGTAATATGTATTCAGCATCCAGAGTTCAAGATGATACAACATTCAGAATCTAAGATTGCTATAGCAGTCAGAGCCTAGAATGGGTACAGCCTCCATAAGTCTAAGATGGTACAGCCTCCAGATCCTTAGATGGTACGGCCCCAAGATATAACATGGGATCAGTCTCCAGAGTATAAGATGGCACAGCTTTCAGAGGCTATGATTGCTATAGCATTCAGAACCTAGGATGGGTACAGCCTCCATGAGTCTAAGATGGTACAGCCTCCATGAGTCTAAGATGGCACAGCTTCTAGACCCTTAGAAGTGGTACGCCCTCCAGATGTGACATGGAATCAGTCTCCAGAGTCTAAAATGATACAGCCTTCAGAGGCTATGATTGCTATAGTATCCAGAGGCTAAGTTAGGCACGGTCTTCACGAGTCTAAGATGGTACAGCTTCCAGATATAGCATAGGGATCAGTCTCCAGAGTCCAAGATAGTAGATCCTTCAGATCATTTGATTGCTATAGCATTCAGAGCCTGGTATAAGTACAGCTTCCACGAGTCTAAACCGTACAGCCTCCGATCCTTAGATGGTACAGCCTCTCGATATAACATGGGATCAGTTTCCAGAGTCTAAGATAGTACAGTCTTCAGAGCCTAAGATGGTTCTGAAAATGGTATAGTCTACGTCTAATATTAACAATTAGAGTCTAATATGGCCTCAAGAGTTTAATGGGTACATCTACTTCTATGATGGCTACAACCTTCGATTCCAAGAATCTAAGATGGCCCAGTCTCCATAATCTAAAATTAATACTCCCTACGGAGTCTAATATGATACAACCCCCAGATGAATTCAGCCTCCAGAGAATAATATAGCTTCAGAGTATAGTTTGGATTCAGCCTGTAGAGTACAAAGATAGTACAGCCACAATAGTCTATGATTTCTATGAAAGTCAGGAGTCAAAGATAGGTACAGCCTCCAAGAGTCTAAGATAGTACAGCCTACAAGAGTCTGAGATGGTAGAGCCTCCAAGAGCCTAAGATGGTGCAGCCTCCATAGTCTTCAATGGATACAGCCTCCAAGAGTCTAGAGGGGTCATTCATCAAGCTATCGCAATCACTGCGACGTCGCAGACACCGATACAGCCTACATAGTCTAAGTTGATACATCTTCTAGAGTCTAAGATGTCAAGAATCACAATTTTGTCACATATAACATCAATCTGTAATTAATAAATGGATCTAAGATGATACAGCCTCTAGAGTCTTAGAGAGTTTAGCCTCTAGTGTTTAATGGGTTCATCCTCCAGAGTCTATGATGGGTACAGCATCCATAATCCAAGATTGATACAGCCTACATAGTCTAAGTTGATACATCTTCTAGTCTAAGATGTCAAGAATCACCATTTTGTCACATATAACATCAATCTGTGATTAATAAATGGATCTAAGATGGAATCGCCTCACTAGTCTATAGGGTTTAGCCTCTAGAGTGTTTAATGGGTACATCATCCAGAGTCTAAAATGGGTACAACATCCATAATCTAAGATTGATACAGCCTACAGAGTTTTAGTTGGTACATCTTCTAGAGTCTAAGTTGGTACATCTTCTAGAGTCTAATATGTCAAGAAACACCATTTGTCACATATAACACCAATCTGTGATTAGTAAATGGGTCAGGAAATGCTTAAACAGACAGGCGGACAGACGGACAAACAGAGCAGTATTTCAACAAACAGCATTATTAGTTGTGTTACCATAGCAAACACATATCAATTATCCAAACTTGTATTTGTTGAAAAAGATCATACACTAAAACAGTTCTTAAGGATGAATGTAATAAACAATTTGTTAAGGAACAAGGAATACCTGAAATGACCTCTACCAACGATTTACATATATTATGTTGTGTTACTATGGCAACCAATTGACAAAAGATGATTAGACTCATCATACCAGAAAATAACATATGTATTAATTACCCTTGTAAATTTGATTCTGTCAACATGAAATTATTTGTCATTGAAATAACAAAAAGTGCCACGCCCACTTTGTGGTAAATTGAACAGTAGTTATCAAACATGCGCCAAATATGTCATCCTATTAATCTATTTGTCATGTTATCTTGTTGTAAACTCCTTCAATATGTATCAAGCTAAACTTTGTGTCCATTTTGAAAAATTAAAAATGACAACCTACCATTTGTTTGTAGGGAAACAGTAGATTTATCCTAAATATTTACAATATTTTGCAATTAAATTGTGTTGCCATTGTAACCAGTTGACCAATCAAGATCAAACTTTGCATGCCAACTAACTATATATGGATGCATAATCCCTGAAATTTGAATGTGATTAGGGGCACCCAACAGAAAAAATAAATGCTTATTATAGTACCGCTCATAAAATAAGACCAGGGGGTACAAATAGTGAATTTTACATGTTTTCCACAACTTAGATTTTTCTAGATTTTATTTTTGATTTTTTTACTGGAGATTAAGAAACGAGGCCCAGGCTAGGTCTAATGTTGTTGGACTATACTCATATATGTGTAGTTGACACCCCATATCAATAGAACTGTGAAACTAGTACCTGTGATTCATTCTATAGCGACGCAGTATGCATTAATTTTCCCACAGGTTCAATCTATACAGGGTGCTCTAGCTTTTAGTGAAAGTCGAAATTGGTCACAATTTTGCATGATCATGAAACATTATTATCATTATGGATACTGTCATATTGATTATAAGCACTTTATTGTACAGTAATAAGTTAAAAGCCCGGTGTAAAATTTGAAAATATACTTTAATCATTCAAATATTAATTTTATCATGACTTGAAATCTATTTGAGACACTTCTTGAAAAGGTTGTTCATTTTATGGTATTTGAATTTTCCGCCATTTTCCTAATTTTATAGATGAAATAGTTGAGGGTTAAACTTATTAATTTTTTATTGAAAAGTCGTCTTAACTGAGGAGAGAGGCAGTCACACAACTGGCCATAGAGAGTGACACAAATATACACTATTGCTCATAAATATGAAATATTAGATTTGACAGCTCAGAATTCAAATTTTTGAGTTAGAGATCATTTATTTGGAGTTGGTTCGGGTATTTATTTTCTATGCAAATTATAACCACATATTTCATCTACAAATTAAACTTTTTTAGAGAAAAAATATTCACATTTAAGTTTAGAAAATTACTGTTATTCAAACAGGTGTATGCTAAGAATTTTTGCATTTTCAAAACACCCGGATCCAAATCGTCATGTAAAAGAGATCAAACAAAATAAACATCTGGTTTTGAAGTTTGAAGTTTCCTCTATTCAATGATAGCACTTATATGCGTTATGTCCTCTTTGTGCTGCAATCAGAGCATCAACCCTACAAGACCAACATTGAATGAAACATCTGACCTTTCTAAGTGAAATAAAGCCCCATTCCTCAATCTGGGTAGTGCGTAACGTGTCTAAATTTTGAGGTGGGGGTCCAAGTCACGAATCTCATTACAAGGTCGCCACACATTTGCTCTGCATTAGCCTGATTGGCTGACTTTTGTGCCCATGGTAGCTGGTCCACATTGCCACTATACCACTAGCATATGCAACAGCATGATCATTCTGCAGTTGAATGTTGCCCCAAAACACTCTGTTTACATGGGGTACTTGATAGTAGAGGTCCAAAGGTAAGTTTAGTCTGAAATTATGTTTGGGAATCTCCAAGGGGGTGCAACTTCTGTAGTACTGCTCTAAACAACTTGTGTAATACTGCTCCAAACATAAATATGGTCGCCTACATGGACTGCCACATCAGTAAGTGTCCTTATTGTCTCTTTCCCCTGGTCTATGACAGAAACGAACACAATTATCAATTTTGTGGAGGACACATCTTATTTCTTCACATGCTGTCATATGACACCAAAGATTAGGTCCAACGTGTTGGTGCTTTCCTGCCTATATTGAAGGCACCCTTTGATATGATCAGTCAGTTGTGGTCTCTTTAAAGGTCTTATGGCCTTGCATCAGTTATAAAGAAATCACTCGTTGTCTATAGATCTGGAACACAGTGTTTGAGGTGAGACAGCCATTCATCTCGTAGACTACTGGTTGACGTAAAGCAATTTTGATGACATAAATGCAGCAGGTGATGGTCTTTTCTTACATTTTTCTCTCTATGGCTACTATTGCTGTGACCTGGAGTCACATTCCAGTGCCTTTGGTACCACTTCAGAATTTTAGAGACTGTTCTTGACACACCCCTGGCAATGGCAGTTTGTTTCATACCAGAGAGCGCCATCCCTATGACCTGTCATGCTCTTTTTCGCTTATTCTATGGGGCATGCCTTCTAAAACTCTTCCAACTCTAAATTATTTTTTATAAAATGTGCACAATGATTACAACTTACTATGATTTGGACATCTCTTTCAAGTTACCAAAATCGTGTGGTCATGAAGTCACCTGTCGAGTGAATACAAGTTTAATCAACCATAAATGTTTTAACTTTTCATGCAAATCAGTTTTATATTCAAAACTGATGAAGGAATGAGAACACATTATAAATTTTTATCAAAATGCTATCATTTTGTAGATATTCCATCGAACGGTTCATATCTATGAAATATTCCATATTTATAAGCAACAGTATATATTAAACCCATATTCAATCCCTCCCAGAAAATAACCTATATATAGAATGTTGTTTCTGTAGTTGTGTGGTTACATTTAGGTATGGAATTCTAGATTGTGCAACGCTGATTCGGACAATGATGGAAAAACAAATGGTGTTGAACTCGGAGATCCAAACTGTGTATGGACCGAGGGAGCTGTTCCTGAAATTACAAGCGGACTGTCGCATCCAGGTACAAAAAGTAGAATCGTAAATTAAGAATAAATTCAATCACTTGATGCCATGGATATGTTTTAGTTCGGATAAATATATTGGACTTCATCGCTTTTTACATCGTAGAACATTTGAACTGTAATTGTGAACTCCCTCAATCGCAGATTGAGCAATTGTTATATTCTGTTATATAGGTGTTTGCGAGCCTTGGGACTCGGAGAGATGTTTGGCGCACAATCAGTGGGAATTCTGTGACAGGGAAGTCTTCTCTTGTCCAGCCATGGATGCAACAGGTATTTCATATTATTGTACATAAAATGCAGTCACTCGGCATTCGATCACATGTAATCATAACAGAATAGAAATTTTAAGGTATTTAAATGCCAATACTGTGCCTTGGGCCATACATGTATATAATGACCGGAACTGCTTGTAACAAAAATGGAGGAAGCAGAAAATACAAAGTATAAAGGACCTTATACACCCTCCATTGGGATCTCCCCATGGAAAAAAAATAATTCATCTGATTTTTCAAAATGAGTATTCTGCTTCAATTATTACATTTATATGCACACAAGTATCTTGTTGACCTATATTCAGCACTGTATTGATGTATAGGCCACTTATTAGGGTCATAATTCAATCATGAAGTGTAGAGGCATAGATTCCAAACCAGAAAGTATTTTTGTGTCTGTCAAAATCCATTTACATCCTACGCATCCCTGCATCTTATCCAAATATGTTACTACATAATGAAATATAATAGTATAATCTTTGGTTTTACAAACTTGTATGATATTTGATAATTGTAAATGTTGTTTTTGGAGCATTTTTCTATAGCAATTTTGAAGGTAAAAAATGATGAAAAAATGTACAATCTTTTAATTTTAAGTATGACCTGAATCGATTGCAAACTTCATATTTGCACATTTGATGAGATAAACCATTTGTGTCGTATTGTGAAATTATTAAGTTTGCAATCGATTCGGGTCATAGTGTATTTTTGGTATTTCTGTGATAATCAATGGAAAACAATGGCCTCTATTGGGATCTGCTGATATCCTCATGTTAAGTCAATGGTGCACAGTCCCATGTAAGTCAATACAACCTTACTGAACGAAATTATCCCTATCTCAGCTTATGTGTGTCCGAGCACTCGAATATTTTCCAAAGTATTATATGACATTTTATTCTTCGTGTTACACCTACGAATGATTCATTTTGACCATATGGATATTTGCCAATAATTGCACCTTGTCCTTTAAGGTATAGACTGAAAGGCAAAGCGTCAAAGACAAATAAAATATATAATTTTTTAGATTTTGTTGTGACTTTTCAAATAACGTTTTGATTAAATTAAATCAATGCATTTTTCTTGATTCTCAAGATGACGTTCGAAAGGTCAGTGTTCGTTTCCCGCCAACACGAGTGCCTCCTACAGAGACGAATTATTATTGCATGGCGGTGGAGCTACCGGGGGATGGCGACTATCATCTTATTGCATCAAGTCCAAAAATCGACAATGCTTACGTTATGCATCACATGCTCATGTATGGATGTAAAGACGGTACAAATATTTTACATAAAATTATTTCCTAACTGATATTTAATCTGTTTAACAGTATCTTCGTTATCATTTGAACATCAAACAAATATTTTTCAATTTAAGTTCATGTATACCGATCTTATAATTTACATTTCATATTTTCCAACTAATACACAGAGGATCTAAAGGGTGGTGAGTCTGACGTTCGGACTAAATTTGCAACTCCAACATTATGTGGAATGGACACGGGTTGTACCAATTTAATTACTGGCTGGGGTCCTGGCTTACCAGGACAGTGTTTCTCGGAACGCGCAGCTTTCAGGATTGGAAAACACGGATACAAATATGCAGTCATGCAGGTATTAAACACATTGGGCAATGTCTTTTATACATCCTTGTGCCCATAGTTGAAATATTTTTATGGTTTGTCTTGTCATGCGTTCGCCAAAAATTCCCATTTCTCGGACGATTCTATTCTTTACTCCTACTCGCAAATTACCCGAGGTATTACCTGGGTATTACTCTCGCGTTTATACAATGCATTCTCTTGTCTATCCCAAATCGCCTGGCTTCCCTGATTTGCGCCATTCTCAGAATATGATATTATTTTGTTCCATTTTCAAGATTGCGCATCTTGGTTGTTATGAAAAAGATGATCAATAAAAAGTCCCTTTGTAATTCGTTGACCCATACCAAATATCTTTGGTTTCTTTACACAGGTGTTACAAATGCTAACAACCTAAGGTTTTGATAGCATATTACATTTATCTAAATATTTTCTTGCAGATGCATTGGAATAACCCCGAATTGCGTTCCCATTACACCGACAGTTCTGGTTTAACATTGTTCTACACACCAAACTTGAGGCCCAATGACGCTGGATCCTTTGTAGTCGGTCAGCGTTACCTCGATATCAAACCAGGATTAGAAAGTCACACGGAAACTGCAATGGCTTCGTCCAGTTGTACTCGAAAAATGCTTCCCTACCCTATTCACATACTCAATAATGTTCTACACATGCACTATTTAGGTAGGTTCAATGGATTATGTCACATGGTTTATTCTGCTCGTTCCTGATCTACAGTATGTGTCGAAAATGTTTCTATTTGATGACGAGCAAGTCCTTGAAATAATTAAATCGCTAATTTTGATAAACTTTTGTTCTCTCGCTTTTTTCTTCATGAAACTTTCACGACATAGGGGACATGTTAGTCCCTGATCTGGTCCCTTTGAAAACAAGTTTTGTTGTCCGATACTCTCCCAAAAAATGATTAAACCGTTTGATAGAACAGACTTCCCTCATAAAGAAAACACCTCTTATATTGATAGAAACAGTGGCAAAAGGCACCTAAATGGGGTTAGACAAGGTGGCATTCTGAAGTCTCACGTTCTAGTCACCACGATTCCAGGAAAACCACCACATGGATTTAATTCAAATTTTCACACATGTTACATGGTAAGAAGTTCTAGAGCTGATTACCTTTCCTGCGGCCATCTTGCATTCTGGCGGCCATCTTGGATTGTTTAGATAAATATTGTCATCGCGAATCCAGAAAAACCACGCAACAGATGTACTTCAAATGTTAACACATGCTATATGGTAAAAAGTTCTAGACCTCATTATTTTTTCGGTGGCCATCTTGCATTCTGGCGGCCATCTTGGAAGTTTTAAGATAAATCTTTTCATCATGATTTCGGGAAAACCAAATGGATTTACTTCAAATTTTCACACATGCTACATGGTAAGAAGTTCTATAGCTGATTAACTTTTCAGCGGCCATCTTGCATTTTTGTGGCCATCTTGAAAGTTTTTTAATAAATCTTGTCATCGCGATCGATGAAAACCACTGAACAGATTTACTTCAAATTTTCACACATGTACATGGTAAGAAGTCCTAGAGCTCATTCTTTTTCCGGTGGCCATCTTGCATTCTGGCGGCAATCTTGGAAGTTTTAAGATAAATCTTGTCATCGAGATTTCAGGAAAATCAAACAGATTTACTTCAAAATGTCACACATGTTACATGGTAAGAAGTTCTAGAGCTGATTAACTTTTCGGCAGCCATCTTGCATTCTGGTGGCCATCTAGGAAGGTTTTAGATAAATCTTGTCATCGCGATTCCAGGAAAACAATTTAACAGATTTATTTCAAAGAACGAATGGCTATAGACACCCCTTGGGTCACTTTACATTTTTTGAAAAATGCAATGTCGTTTATATCCTTGATATGTAGGACCAAATTGTAGATAAATATGTACATTTTCAAGAAATGGCAATAAAAAACATTCAAGATTACTGATATAAGTATATTTTGGTTGATTTGGGAGGTTTGTATCACTTCCTGTGAAAATGTGAATTTTTTATCAGTCTCAGAAAATGTCTCCAGAATGTATAAACCCAACTTGGCAGATTTCCCATTGTTTGATTGTGTCACTATATACACTCATTGGATCAATATTTTATACATATAAATAGTCATATTTCAATAGTCATTGAGGAGGAATTAGTTATGTTTGCAATTGTGTTGACCTACTTATTTTTAGAGAGAGGAATGTCATGATAAACTCTTGCTTTGTTCATATAACGCCTGGTTCTTACCTAGAAAGTTATATGTAGTAAGGGAATGTTGTACTTCTAAGGTACTTCTTGAGATATGTACAAATCTAGGTAAGGACCAGGTGTTGTGCAAAAATTGAACTTTTCTGCAATTTTCAACATGAAATAAAATGATGTCAGCCATTTTGAAAATCCTTACAATGATCGTGACAGTTGTGTTTTATATATTTGAGTATATTTTCTTTATTCACAAGGTCTTTTCATGAACTAATATATATGTTTGCACTGGAGCATGACCTCTAGAGAAGCATATATCTTTACCATGGCTCTAAGCAACATAATAACATGGAATTCCTTTCAATACATCCATATGAGATGATTGTTGTACAATCATTTTATCTTCATGTAACAGGCGTCATTTTTTGTGTCTGAATATTTTTTTATAATATCACAGTTCACTGGCTGATCATACAACGTTATTGTGCAGAAGAAATATACTGTAAGTCACAATCAGTAGGCTGGAAAACGACGTTTGCTAATTAAATGCCCAAAGCAAACGGAACTGAATGATAGAACTGCAAGCTCCCAGTACTCCCTGTATGGAGACAGAGGGTTACATCTTAATCGTAGTAGACTCTCTTGAGATCAAGCCAACCAATCAAATCGATACACAAACGACCATCTTCAAGTAGATGGGAAATATAAAAAAGATACATATTGCCTAATTTGTGTAAAAGTCCAGTAATCGGTTTGTGTCCTCTAAATCTCATTATCACATGGGCGGAGTATAACCCAGATCCAGATGTATGTAATAGTATTGATGCAATCACTCGATGGTGTTGTACATGCCCAGTTGGGAGAATGGTTGTAGGCACAAGGGGTATAAAAGCAAAAAGAAATGCACAAAGTTTGACAGTTTAAAATCAAAAGATATGTATGAAATGTTGTCATCTGAAGAATATGATGATAGCCCATAGAAACTCGTATTATAATGAACAAACACATGAATGTGCTCATCAACAGTTATGTAAAGTCCAGAGTAACCTTTTCGAAATTGTTATGTTTTATATGTTTTCAAATATTGTTCTTTGTGCTTCCTCGCTGTGATGTGAAATAATAAATTCAGTATTTTACTGCCACTTTAAAACAAACTGTATATGCGCAAATGATCTCAAGAAAGCAAAGCAATTCATTATTGATTGTTAATTACTTCATGTGTTTTTAAATGTTGCCCCTTGTTCTTTCTCATTGTGATGTCAATTAAAAATCTCAATATTCTTTTCTGGTATAGTTTCCCAAACTTTTTTTGTAGACAATTGATCTAAATGAAGTATAAAGAAGATCACTATTCAATATTTTGTTTGCATTTTTGAGTTGATATATTTTATATGTTTTCGAATGTTGCCCATTATGCTTTGTCACTATTATGTAAGATAGTACCAAGAGGATCAATTAAAAAGCATAAATGAAAATAGAAAAAGTAGAAAAAGTGACAATAATGATGTGAAAAAGGTGATAATCCCTTGAAAGGGTCATTTTATACACGTTAATAGAATGACCTATATTTTGAAATATAAAGGTCAAAATGATTTTTGAAACCTCGATATATTGATAGAAACAGGGGCGAAAGGCACTAAAGTGAGGTTACACAAGGTGGTATTCTAAAGACAACGTTCACCATGCTTCTGTAATAATTTGACATAAATGTATATTTCGTGTATGATATAATCTTCTATATTAACAGAAACATGGGCAACAGCCGCTTCAATGGGGTAACACAAGGTGATATTCTAAAATATAACTTTTTACTCTGTTGCTGTGCTTTATACCACACAAATGCATTTTGTGTTAGACATCAATCGATTTTAAGAATAAATATCTACCTTTCATCGATAGTAAAAAAAAGGTTATTGAAAACTTTAAACATTTCTTTGAAATCCAACAATGCACAGCAATTTTATTATATAATCCAGCATAGTTTAATATTTAGAATAGATCTTTTCAACCAATCACATTGAGGCTTTCTGTATCGCGTTTTCATCTGCGCTATATTGCATATTCCGCATGTGAGTATGCCATATTCCATAGGAGAATATGACATATTGCGCAGTGAGATATTTGGTATACACTGAAATCAATGTATCGCATATTGACTGCGGAATATGCCATACTCACCTGCGGAATATGCCATATACTGCAGGTGAGTATGGTATATTAACCCGTATCACTAATACCGCACAACCATGAATATATGCCATATTCTGCGTAACACCATGCACATATAGTTATTTTGCAGTTTTTGGCAAGCATTTCTATATATACAGCATTAACATGTTGTTTGCATTTGGGTATCAATGTACTCTAATGAAACGTATCATTCCTTCTATTATTCATTATATTCTGGTTTTGAATGTCAAATACAGCTCCATATACCACTGGATTAGGATATCAAGCGCACTAGAAGTAATGATTGGCACATGTACGTTGTTATTGTAATCGTCTGAAAATAAAGATTAGATCAATTACATTCAGTGGTTCAAAAATATTCTATCACACTATTGTGCAAAACATGATTCTAGTATATAACTGACTATCTTAGAATTGGTTTTGGTATAAAACCAGCGAATCATTGTGTATAATCAGCTTACTTTTTCGCCCCTTGTACTATTGCACAATTTACATGCCTTGCACCCTGTAGTGATTTTTGAAACGTTGTACCCTGTACTATGACATATCAAATATTTTAAAATTCAAAACGATATTATTTATATTCTTCCTTCATGGACTTCACTATTTCCCCATTGACGTTCAGCAAATAACGATATTGACTCACTCCGAGCACCAAACGTATTAACATGTTGACTAAGCAGTCAATATACTCAAAAGTGGCCTGGTTGGAAGCCAAAAATCTCGCGCATGACTGATCGAGGTAGGGTAGTGTGTATATGTATGGACAACTTTTCACTGTGAACATGACACGAGACCTTCATAAATTCTAAAAATCAATTGATGTCATACACAAAATGTATCTATAAATTGGTATAAAGTACAAACGCAGAGTAAACAAGGCACATGGTGAACAATATCGTACCTATAACATAGCAGTGTGGACTTGATGACCCAGAAAGGAAGATGGCCGCCGAAAAGTTAATCAGTTCTAGATCTTCTTACCACGTTGAATGTGTAAAAATTTCAAGAAGATTGATTTATATAAGGACCTCTTTCCCTTATTATCTTATACGCAATCAGGGCCAGTAAGTGCCGTTAAGAAAGGGGACCATAATCACCGGGAGACCATAATTTCTTTCACACCGGGATCGTAGACAACAACATTGATACCTTGCTGTCCTCTGTTAAATCACGAAACCCGTTTCCCTTAATTTTTTTACTAAGAGACTTATACATGCATAAGTTATCTATCAAATTTTTTTAAAAATATTAAATGTCGTCTAAGGTTGTTTTAATGATTAGTCTTCATCTAGATTCATTAATCATCACGATATTTATATAGAAATATTATGTAATAGACCTGTCATATCACGTCCGTAGTTACAAAGTCATCTACATATTAATGCAATAGAATAAGACTCAATGATTAAAATAATAAACCTCAGCATTCGGGCCTAAAAAACACAGATAAGTGTATCAATACCAAAGGGTAAGCTCAAATAACCTTCCAAATAAGTGTATCAATAATCAAGGATTGCGAGTACTAAGGACCAAGTAAGATGGTTGTAACGTTGGTATTGCTAGTTATTAAACACGATTTTGTCTTGTGCAAGGCACATGGTGAACAATATCGTACCTATAACATAGCAGTGTGGACTTGATGACCCAGAAAGGAAGATGGCCGCCGAAAAGTTAATCAGTTCTAGATCTTCTTACCACGTTGAATGTGTAAAAATTTCAAAAAGATCGGTAGAGTGGTTTTCCTGGAATCGCGACGATAAGATTTATCTAAAAACGTTCAAGATAGCTGCTAGAATGAAAAATGGTCATACACTGTAGAAAAGTTGATCAGCTGTAGAACTTACCATGTAACATGTGTGAAAATTTGAAGCAGATCTGTTGAGGTGGATTTTCTGGAATCGCGATGACAAGATTTATCTAGAAACTTCCAAAATGGCCGCCAGAATGCAAGATGGCTACCGGAAAGTTAATCAGCTCTGACAGTGGTTACCATAGAAACGATTACTATATTGTCAGTACTTAGATGGCTGTAAGGACATTTTGAGAGAATAATGTCAGATATGTTCCTCATGTTGTAAAAGTTTCATGAATAAATGTATAAAAAGCAAAAGAAAAGGTTACAGCAAAATTACCAATATATTAAAGAAGATTCTCTGAAGATTCGTGCATTTGTATATTTGTTCCATTTTTCAGGAAAATCAGGCTACATAGACCTTCGTCGTAATGGAAACAAGCTGAAAACGTTAGGTCGAGATGACGTATTTAGTTACGATTCCCCAGTTCAACACGTGTTAGTGTCTCAATAGGTTTTTTGAGTCGTATACATTATGACTTCTAGAACACCTATTTTTTAATTAAATTCAGTTTAAAACAGACAGTCAGCAATCCGAAAATCTTGTTTATCTTGTATTTATTTTTACATTTGCCATGTACAATATGACCAGCAGTACAATTGCCAAACATTGCAAACAGGTATAGAACGCTATTTTTGAAAATCCTGATTTCTAGCCGTGTTACAACAACTGTGACATTGCTTGATTATTAAATGGTAATTCAAACGAGTATCTTTTCCAGACATGATCCACCGATAGAGTTCCTACCCGGTGATGAGGTATTCGTTAGTTGCACCTTCGATTCACGCTCAAAATCAGAAACCACTTACTACGGCTACGATACATCAGCTGAAATGTGCTACGGATTTTTCCAGTACTACCCGGTGATTGGTAACTTGACAAGTATGTTGAATTACAAAGACGTCGAACTTTGTTTCAATTGGGGTCCCAGAGGGGGAGGTGAGGGTCTCATTGTTGGAGGATGTAGTTTGACGAATGCGGTCATTCAATCCTTTTCAATGAAAGTCATGGCGAAATGCTCGATGACCGGTGATGTCTGTCAACCAGAATGCAAGGAGATGGTCAAGGAAACCAGGTTGAATGACGAGTGTATGGGGAACGAAGACGTTTTTGGACTAGTAAAGGTTTTATCAGAGGGAGAACCTCGACTTGAAAACATATGGAGAGCATTTGAGTCTTGTGACGATGAGATTAAGATGGATGATGTTCTCACGAGATTAATATTAAGCCTAGTTTGAACTTTTAATAAAATTTATCTAAATCACCCAAGTTTACATATCAAACCCTTTTCTACATAATATTATATCATGGTACTAAAATTAAAATGGGTGGTATCTATAGACACTCCCCGAAGCGATAAACGATGAAGATGATAGGTGTGACGCAAAGGAGTCTATGGACACCCGATACTCATTGCACAAACATAGTAGCAATTATTATTATAAAGGGACTATAGAATTATACAATTATATATACAAGCTAGAGATACCTGGTGTCTATACAGTGCGTATCAAAAAAACAAAAAAACGCAACAAATTGTTAACTCGAAAAAGCTCAAAACCAGTGAAAACAGCATTGGTTTCTTTCAATGTACCATAAAGCCATATGTCTCCCTCTTTCCAATGGTCTGTCATTTATTGACATTGGGTCATTGTTGGGCGAGCAATCATTCCTTTTGTAAAGTTGGCCAAAATTAGCTTGGGACCAAGTTATGAACACCGCGTAAGTCAATGCACGGGGCCAGGTGTTATTGGGAGAATACATAAAACCAGAGATGACTGCATCCTCATTCAATGAACCACAAAGCCACATTTCTCCTCTTTGCAATTGTCATCATGTCATTCATTCTCAGGGATTCATGTTTGGCCAAATAATCATTGATCTCGCAATGTGGGGCAAAATCAGCTCAGAACCAAGTTTAAAACATTGCAAAAATCAGTGCAAGGGGCATAGGGGCTAGTGTAAAAAGGTGTGACAGGTCTGGCAAAGACGGTAAAGTGTTCATACTAATACTCTTTACAAGAATATATGCATCCCATACCCCTCCGAAATGCAACCACTTCTTAGCAAACAAAGATGCGCAGATCTCTTTGTCATTCATGGCTCGTGATCAGCTCTGAGTCATCTGTGGTTTAAGGCGTAGAAAAACATCCCATTGGCAATTCTTTTTCGAAATTTTGCAATATCTGGGAGAGGAATGGTAAACACTTTGCTCCTGAGATAGGTTCAAAAGAAAAAGTTACAACAATTCAAGTCAGTAGAACTTCCATTAGCACTTAGCCCTAGCACTGACTTTTGCAATATCTGAAACTTGGTCCAGAGCCGACTTTGGCCAATTGTGCAAATGGAATGATTTTTCGCCCAACAATGGCCACATGTGAATGACTGATAGATCATTTCAAAGAGGAGAGACGTGGCTTTATGGTACATTGAATGAAATTGATGTAGTCATTACTGGTTTTGTCGTTTTACGAGATAACTGTTTGTTGCGTATTTTGATACGCCTTGTAGACACCCCAAGTTTACATTTAACGTTTTTATTACTTTTATACATATGCCATGGTACTAAAATAAAACTGGGTGGTGTCCATAGACACTCCTGAAACGAATACATGATACTGCATGTAGGTTGGACGCAAAGGAGTCCATGGACAGTCCCGATACTTATTGCACAAACATAGTAGCAATTATTATAAAGGAACTATACACTGCGCAGGTCCGTAGCGTTTCGATGGGTTCGAGCAACCCCCCCCCTCCCCCCCCCCTTGGCCAAAAGCTATTTCAAAAGCATACATTTTTCATCATTCTGAGCACTTTTTTAGGTGATTTTGGCATTTGGACCAAACTTGCCAAACTGATTTTTTCAAAACTGAACAACCCCCGCCCCTTGGCAAATCCTTCCTACGGGCCTGCTGCGAAACTAAAACATAAAACAAGAATATTTTCGAATTGTTGCTCGCAAAAGTGTCTATGGACACTTCCTCTTAATCAGCTTCCTAGCAGCTATATACATTAGTAGCAACAAACATTTATCATTCTTTCTTCCTTGCTTTAGGGTCTTTTAACATCATATTGTGAACATCTCATAGATTCATACGTAATAACATTTTAAATCGATTGAAATAGATCATTTTCAAGTGAGCCCTGCAAAGTTACGTAATTGAGACAAATTTACCTTCACTAATTTGAATATCTATCCCTCTTTATTACATTCTCGTCCATTTTATAATATTTTTGTCGCGACCCCCGCTTTGGGTAGCGTGGCTGGAGGTTAGACAGAAAAGGAAGTATTTGATTTAACAGGTGTTAGTGCAAGACTTATGTTCCTATGATTATTGTTCACATCAAATGTGGGAGGGGTTTATTTGTCAAAAGTCAAATTTTGCAGATGTTGGATTAAATAGGTCAGAAATCAGCTGATAAGTGTAATTAAAGGTATATTTATGACATTAGCAAACATTAATTGACCCAACTAACAAATAAAATAAAAATAAAAATAAGTATAGTAATGTTAGGAATAGAAACTTGAGATACATTGATCCATTCAAAATGCCCATAAGATGCTCTGCTAGATTCTCATCCTCAGCAATACCTTCTGCAATCTCAAAATGGCTAGAGCTCCCCCCTTCTATTAAAACCAAGAAAACTCTTCATAACTTCAAAAGACACCAACGGCTTTTCCTCCAAAACCCCTCTAAAATTTTGACCACAAATCAATCTTTCTAGACGGCATGAGATAGTGTTGAATAAAGTAAGAGCTGACTTATTTTTTAAAGCTCAATTTTATGCCCATAATTTTAACTCTGTTGACAGCCCTAATTGTGCTTGTGGCAGCTCTCAAACCTTAAAGCATATTCTTTTCCAGTGGAATCGCTTTACCTTAGTAAGACAGGATCTCTGGGATAAACTTGCTGAATTCGAACCTTCTCTCAATAGTAATCTTCCCCAGTACGATTTTATCTCCATTTTGAAAACAGGATGCCCAAACTTAAGCATAGATGTAAACTCTAAAGCCATTTCACTGATACTTGACTTCATCATAGACAATAGCTAATTCCCTCCCTCATGTCTCTCTTTCTGATATCCTGTTGTCCTGTCACACCTGCTCCGGCCCGGGACCCTGTCTGCCTGCCACCCCCAGCCTCTCACCATTCCTATATAATGCCCTCTGGCGATTTAGGGATGCTATTGTAACTGTATTTTAAACTATATCAATGAAATAAATAAATAATAATTAATAAAAAAAAACTAACAAATATTTGTTCAATTACCAGGGCAATTATGTGCTTGACCTTGATATGAAACCTCCGCAAAGCAAACTGGACAGCAAGTGTCGTCTGCTTTCCACTGGGCGATGCAAAGTGTACGAGCACAAATCTCTTGCTCAGGGTAATGGTGAGGGTCAATTAAAATCAATAAGTTTTTGCAGATAATTCCACAAGACAAAATCGTGTTAAATAACGATCAATACCAATGTTACAACAATCTTACTCGGTACTTAGTACTCGTAATCCTTGATTATTGATACACTTATTTGGAAGGTTATTTGAGCTTACACTTTGGTATTGATACACTTATCTGTGTTTTTTAGGCTTAAATACTGAGGTTTATTTTTTAATTATTGAGTCTTATCTATTGCATTAATATGTAGTTGACTTTGTAACTACCAGACGTGATATGATAGGTCTATTACATATACGTATGTATACCCTGTATATTTTTAGATTATTATATTGTGATATAAAAATGAAGCGTTTAAATCATCGTTATTTCATTTTTGAATCATTTCGATTGTTTTTGTAAGACGTTATTAATATAAGCATGTGTTGGAGGATACAAAATGACTTTAAAATGATGTGAAATATAAACGTACAATCGAAAGTTAGTATTCGTATTTTAGTCCATGGTATGAAATATCTAGGACGCCTAATAAAGGAGATGGTAGCACACTATAGCGCAGCGATATTTGACCTAACATTAACATACCTACATATGTTCCCTAATAATTTTTATTATAACCATTTAATATACTTCCGGCTTTTAGGGTGAATTATGCCTGCCATTAACAGAGGTCAAAAAATTACCAAAAAATAAAATCCCAATTTTTCAAAGTTTAGAGAACACAATGCAACAGCAAATAATACAAAAAATATTTTAAATATATGATCTAGGTTTCTAAACTATACGAGGTTATTTTTCTTATCAATACCAAAACATTATGTAATCAGTGCATCGACGTTTTGTATTGTTTCTCAGGTATTAATAAGATTAATGCTAGAAATTAATCACTTTTATATTAGAATGACAAATGCTTAAATTATGTTAGATTTTCACAAAATGGGTCTCAATACGTTTTGAGATATTGACTTTTATTCAGCGGTGAACATTAAAAATAAAGGAGAGCCTATTGCTCTTCCTTGACTAATTGGGACTACAGCTGGAAATTATATTTCTCGTAGTTAGATATAGCTCAGTTGCTTATAAAAGAACACCAAGACTTGGTCGAAATCCTTAATAATTGAGAAAAATGGTTATCATTATCTTCCTAAAATCTGCTTATATCCAGCGGTAAGGTCAAAGAAGAAGCAACCATCAAAAAACTTGATGATAGCCAGCAGTAACGTCGAGGAAGAATTGTAAGGCGTTCGATTGCATATAACTCTAATTGATTATTAGACATACCATTGGAATATATGAACATTCCAATACCTCTGTAACATTTAATTTGTTATTGTATTATGTTCTACAAAACCTGAACAATAATTTGTTGTTTGACCCCTTGCGATTATTTGGAAAACATCTGGTAATAAAATGTTTTAAATGGTAAGAAAAGTAATATATTCCCAATCATAAATTACCTAAATATTCCACACAATTTTGTTGAATCTGCTTGGCTCATATTGGAAAAATCAGACAAAATCTGAAAAACACACTTGCGTAATTACACTAATTAAACACCTACATCCACAGTAGAATTAAAGTATATTTTTACTTAAGAAATATAGACCAAAGAGCAGGGTTAATAGTTTCGAATAACACCCTGCTGGTCTCGGCACAAACGTTTTCTGTACCCCGAATGACCGAAGGGAGTGAGGGGTTCGAAAGCTTTTGTGCCAAGACCAGCGGGGTGTTATTCAAAACTAGTAACCCTGCTCTGAGGTCTATATTACGATTCAAACATGAAAACTCACCAAATTGTTTCGAATATACATCATGGTCCGCCATTACTACGGCACAC